AGGGAGACCTTTGGCTTATGCATTTTGAAAACATTTAAGTTAGTATATTTTAAACAATAATAAAATTAAAAAAAAACAAACACAGAAAAAACAAAAAACATTTAAGTTAGTAATTAATTTCAGTATGGAAAGATTTTACGTACAAATCTAGATACCTAACTTTTGAAAAATTAGAATCTTTAGCAATGCTGGGCCTGCATTCCCACCCAGTGGCCGTTAGAGGATCTGAGGCATGGCTGCGACTTGTGGTGGCCATAGCTCTCTTCTCCATTCACCTGGGTCCCCACCGGCCACCTTTACATTCCTGCCTGGGTTTGAGTGCAAATGAACTGGTCCTTCTAACCCCCCGGGAGAGCAGTCTCGAGTGACCCAAGACAGTAGGAAGGGAGAGGAACCGGAAAGCCAGGTGCAGGTCATCCTGGAAACCAAAGAGGAGAGGTCTTCTAGCAATATCCGAGCAGAAGTCATGGGTTTGCAGTTAGGAGATGACTGAGTGGGAACTAGGCTTGTTTGCTATCTTGATTGAGGGGAGAGGGGAACAGGGTGGCTGTTGGGGGGGGGAGGGGATTTTTAAGATGGAAGAGGCTTACCATGGGTAAATGTTAAGGAGAGAGATCTGGTAGAAAGTGGGAGGGAGAGGTTGAGGGTAGCATGTCCTAGAGTAGCCACAAGATTTCGGGTCTAGAGGGCAGGTGGAGTGTGTCTTCATGCCTTTTGGGGTCTGGGACACCCTGGGTAACTCTGAGAAGGGAACTTCTGATGTGTGGGCTGGGTCTCCAGGAGAGCTGGTCAGGAATCCCCTAGGGCTAGTGCCAGGCTTTGCCCTGGCATTGCTGGTTACCCTTCTCCTCACCGCTCCTCTCCTGACTGCTGGGCACCCCACCCTGTGTTGCCAGGGGTGGTCTCTGATTCCACCCAGTAATCCCAGATGCCTGCTCAGGTATCACTTATCACCAGAACCTTTTCTGACTGCCCTACTTAAAAATCACACACTTAGACATATTTTTAATCAGTTTCTTTTCTTCCATAGCACTTGCTTCCTCCTGAGGTATTATTATGTGGTGGTGTCTGTCTCCCTAAACTGGAATACAGGCTCCTTAAGGGCAGGGTCTTGATTGGTGCATTACAGAATCTCTGACACCTAAATGTGCAGGGCATGTGATAGGCATCGCTGTCCATGTGCTGGCTGAATAAGAGAATGAATGAAACTTGTGGTACAGATGAGGGTCGGTGACTCTGCCCTGGTTGTGCCTGTGTGGTCTTCATTCTTTTTGGGTCATTGACTGAAGAAAGGATTTTCCCTTAGTCCAAGAGCAGGTCATGGGTGAAGGGGTTCAGAATGACTTGAGGTATACAGGTCATAATAATTTTGATGGTGAGGATGACTCTGTGCCAGGTGCTAAACAACAGCAGCAAAAGACCCTAACTAGTGAGTACTCTTCTTGTCCCCATGTTAGCCATTGGTACCTGCATGATGAAGGCCAATAGAAGGTCACTTGCCCAAGGTCAGGCGGGTGGGCAGCACTAGGACTGGGAGTTGGATGCATGTCTGTCCAGCCCCACAGTCATGGTGCTAACCACTGCTCTCTCCTGCCTCTCTTCCCATAGGCATTTGCATCAAGTGTGGGCTTGGTATCTACGGAGCAAGGCAAGCGTGCCAGGCAATGGGGAGCCTGTATCACACAGATTGCTTCACCTGTGACTCCTGTGGTAGGTGACCTCTCTCTGGCCCCTCTTGCATCATGGACCGCCTTGCACCTAAGTCCCAGGCAGATGGACCACCCAGCTCTGACCCAGGCTGAAGTGGGGAGGAGGCTAAGTTGTGGCCCCTTTCTCTCTGGACCTGGCTTGCTTGAGAGGCCCACGACCCTGGGAATATCTGCTGGGCCCCAGGGAGGGAGGTGTGGGGCCAGGGAGGAGCCTTTTGCTGGCCACAGGGAAAGGCTGCCCTTCTGGCCCTGGGCTTTTGAGCCTTTGTCCTGTGCAGGGTACTGATGTCTCCTGGCTGCCTGGGTGCTATGCCTTCTGTCTGCCTGGATATGGGGTTAATATTTCTTTCCTGTGCAATTTCTTTTTTGTCTGAATTTTACACACAATATAAACTGTAAATGTAATACAACCTAGGCGAAGCTATAAAAAGAGAAAAGTAACTATAACCCAACCAGCATAAGTCAGCACTTTTTTTTTTTTTTAATTTTAATTTTTTTAAACTTATCTTTATTGTTGAGAGTATTACAGGTGTCCCATTTTTCCCCCCAATTGACCTCCTCCACTTCACTCCCACTCCCTCCCCAGGCCTTCACCCAGTTATTAACTGTGTCCATGGGTTATGCATATAACTTCTTTGGTTAATCTCTTCCCACCCTCCACTCCCCTTCCCTCTTTCCTGAGAAATATGATCATCTGTCATTGTCTCTGGATCTATTTAGTTGGTCAGATTCTTTTGTTCATTACCTTCTTCTTAAAGATCCTTCAACTTTTCCTGTAGTGCTGGTCTGGTGGTGATGAACTCCTTTAGCTTTTTCTTATCAGTGAAGCTCTTTATTTGACCTTGAATTCTAAATGATAGCTTTGCTGGGTAGAGCAGTCTTGGTTGTAGTTCCATGTTTTTCATCACTTTGAATATTTCTTGCCACTTCCTTCTGGCCTGCAAAGTTTCTGTTGAGAAATCAGCTGACAGTTGTATGGGTGCTCCCTTGTAGGTAACTAATTGCTTTTCTCTTGCTGCTTTTAAGATTCTCTCTTTGTCTTTAACCTTTGGCATTTTAATTATGATGTGTCTTGCTGTGGGCCTCTTTGGGTTCCTCTTGTTTGGGACCCTCTGTGCTTCCTGGAC